GGTTGTTTGTGAGGTTTGAACGATGGCTTGATGGGCAGCCGATGTTCAACCAATTTTCTGGACAGGCCCGGAATCTCGTGGTATTCCCACGCAAAATAATCTCGATATTCTCGTATTAAATCCGTAAGCTATTTTTTTTTCTAGTTTGGGAGTAGCAAAGAACTGATCCTGGTCATTCGGGGTATTGCGCAGTCACCAAGATTGATCTCCTCGAAGGGGTCCTACGCTTGGAAGGATGGGGTAGCCCTCTGGATAGGCAAGGGAAGTTCATCTCCGTTCTGATATTCCGGGGGAGGCGGCAGATCTGAATGGTCTGTCTGCCTTTCAAGGATTCGAACAGGGACAGATCCGATACCCCATGCAGCATCATACAAATCGCAGATCCGTCCCTCTAGGTCCCTCAATACATCCTGGTCGTCACTCATTACAAATGGCTTGGTTGACGGGCCGTGAGTCGGCCTCTGTATGAATTTCGAACCCTTTCATCGTGAGGTTATATTCCATTCATGTATCCACGTTCTTCAACATCATTGAAAACGGATACACACTGGGTGAATAATAGAGCACCTCGGCTGCATGGAACTCCGTCGCGGGGTCGGTTTCGGCTTTAACCGTCTCTACGTGATTACCATTCCAAAATACCACTTTTTAGTGCATGGTGGACAACACACACTAGGTAGTGTGAATCCAGTCCCTCTCTAAGATGACCAAGTAAGTCGGTTTGCCTTCGAACACATAGAAAACCATCCGGTCGGTACGACTCCCAACCTCACATCAGCTACTAGCACGCCGGCGGCCGAATGTGCATTTCCTGTAAAATCCGTGGTCCGCATGGTGGTAACGATCAGATCTCCGCGATTCTTCCCAATTTTTTGGAGTGTGGACAGGGCCATCACGTTGACGGATGCTCCCCCGTCGACCAAAACCTTGTGATCATGCGACCATCGAGATACACGGTCAGGAACAATGGTTTAAGATGCCATGTTTGCTTCTCGGCTAATTTTTTAAAGAAGACCGGCTCTGGTTTCTCCTTCGGCACCTCTTGTTCCGGGCCGGCCCATGACAAAAGGCTAATTCCTCCACCAACACATCTCCTTGGAAATAAGAAGGTTGAACCTCCGGAGCTATGAGCTCTCTGGGCAAAAAACCCACAGTGTTCACCCGAAAATCCTTCTCATAATGCAGAGCATGTTCCAGATCTTGGACGTTCGCAATGATATCCAAACTTGCGATCAACGCCTTGTCATCCTCCAAAGCCCCGATAATTAGTTCGTTCTTCAGGACAGACGTCATTGGCTCCTCCGGATAAAGTTGTTCTTTAGGGACAATTTGTTTCGGCCTTCATTCTTGCAGCCTCCTCCTTCGGGGAGGTAATTTCTCCATCTGAGATGTTTCCTCAGTTACTGCAATTTCCCTTGCCCTCAGGAGGGCTGCACATGCTGTTGATCCTGTTCAGCGAGCCGTGATGCCAAGATTTGTCGTTGCCATCTTCGACGTTGATTCCTAGTTAATGGTGGGTTCCTTTTTCTATTATCCGTCCACTTCTCATCACTTGACGGCCTTTCTGGCCATTGTATAGCATGAGAAGTTATCACCACTTGGTCGACTGAAATAACCCGCCATACATCACCGTTTTTCTCGAAACTAACTTCGGCAACAATACTATTCGGTGAAAGACAATCCCAAACAGAACTTTTTTGTGGGGGTTTGATAGACCTTCCTAACCGTTCAAATACGCTCCTCTTTGGTGTGACTTGTTGCCGATGTGACCTACCGCCTGAGGCTAGATTGTTCCTCCTACCAAGTCGGACACTTACAGCGTTAATTTGAGCCAAGCATGGCTCCGTATCGATCTTTATTTTCGATTTTTCGGCCAGCCGTAGGTTGCCTTCTTTGATAGCCTTCTGTACGGACTTCCCCGACCGTTTAACTACGTTCCTTTTTGGCGGGGTCTATTCCCGACTAGTCGGTCCCTCTTTGGGCCGTCTGCTCTAAGTTCGGCCTATCGCCCGAGGCTAGTCAGTTCCTCTTCGGGCCAGCCTGCTCCAACTTTGGCCTATCGCCTGAAGCTGGTCAGTTTCTCCTACCAGGTCGGACACTTACTGCGTATATCGACCTTCATGTCCGACTTGTCGGTCAGCCGTAGGCGACCTTTTTTAATAGCCTTTTGTACCATGTTCCTGAAAGCGATACAACTCCCAACCTGGTGTCCAAACAAGCCATGCCATTTGCAATAGGCTTTTCCACCCAATTCCTCGTCGGAAGGTGTTTTATAGCCTTCTTTAAACCGGAGTTGATTATCCTTCAACAAAAAGTCAAAAAAATCTGCTCAGTTTTGGATATATCGAATGCGTAGTGTATTTTTGGATTGGTATCCTTCCTCCAAGATACTTTGAGCTCCGAGCAAGTATATGTTTTTCCTTGTGAGATTTCCGCCAAGAACCTCTCTTCTGACCCCTCCGGGCAATCTGTTTGGGTTCTCTTGGACTTGGACAAGATGTGCTCCACTTCTGCATTTTTGGCTAGTTGCCAGAGGGTCCCGAAGGAGCTGTTCCGCCTTAACCGCTATCCCAGCAAGCTGCCATATGTCGTTATATTCCTGCAGGGCTAGCTTCTCCCGGGGCTGGTGTATCATATTATTGATAGCCATATTGACCACTTGATTTTCGGGTATCCGGATCTGGCACCGTCCCTCAGCTCTGCGAAATCTCTCCAAAAATTGTTACACCGGTTCATCGTGTTTTTGTCGTAAGTTGGTAAGGTCCGAGGCCGTCACCTCCGGCGGTGGGGTATTAAAAACGTTCGTGGAACACCCTTTCGAGATCCGCCCACGTATTGCAAATACTTGGCGGCAGAGACGCATACCACGTAAATGCCGCCCCCTTGAGGGACAATGAAAATAGCTGGAGCTTGAACCAATCGTTGGTCCCGAACTCTCCTCCACACTGAACTGCGAACCGCCCAATGTGTTCAATGGTGGACCATGAATCCTCGCCTGAGAACAACGCAAATTCTGGGACCCGTGCATTCCGGGGAAGCAGGTGGTCGATGGCAATCTGATCCGGGAATGGCCGTTGATAATGTAGCCGAGCGCGAAGTCGGATGGGATCGCCAACAGCCTTCAAATTGCTTCCTTGATGACCTGCGGATTAATAGTCGGTCTCGGAGGATGAGCAACTTCGGCGTATCCTCCAGGTTGTTCCGGGCCTAGTTGAGCGCGAGGAAAAAATTGTTGATGGCCCTGTGGGGGATGAGCCGGAGTTGGACGTCCTCGATTTCCCTTGGCCGGTACTCGCAGAGGTGTTGCCGATGGAGGGACACAATTCCCAAAATGGAACGGGGGACCCTGTTGTGCCAGTCCGTACCCATGTTGTGCAGCTGGTCCGGCGGGGGAAGCTTTCTGGTATGCTGCCTGCCCCCGAACGGAGGGGGAAAGGTCGGAGCCTCTACGCCCCAATCCCAAGCCACTGCTACAGCCGACGGAGCCGAACCCCATGGACCTAGGGGAGCTGAAGCTGCTCCCTAAGGCAGATTCGGAGGTGGGGCGGATGCCCCCCAAGTCATCCCGGAGCCGGGGGAGTGGCCTGTCTGGTTGAGGCTGTGGTCGGCTGTGCCCCCAAGGGTCAGCCGTCTCTCCCCGAGCAGGGACGTTTCCTTTCCCGTTCGCCTCTGCGGGCGATGTGGACTCGCTCACGCCACCGAACAAAGGATTGTTTTGCCATTAGGTAGCTGGTGGCGTGTACCCGTTGTTCCCTGGATGTCCCTGATGTGGCGGCGGCCTTAAAATGGCTTGCCCCAAGGACCGCCAAGGTCCTTTAGCCACTGTCTCGTCCGGGTGATTTTTATTTTCGATTTCCTTACTTAGTATGGCGATGTTGCCATCCTGTAGTGTCGCTGGAGGGTGCCCTAACGTGTCCCCCTGTGGCAACTTCATCCGAGGTGAGTTTTCATCATCTCCGGGATAGGCGCCCGGCGCATTCCCTTTGCGCAGCTCCTCATCTCTTGCCCAAGCGATCTTGTTATGGATAGTTGGTTTTAGGACGTTTACGAGATATTGGGAGAGCATCAGCGCTGACTATGGAAGGCCATTTGAATCTCTCCACGGATCTGATTTTAAAGAATGCTTGCGGGAATCATCAGCATCTTTTCTCCACTCCCCAGAGCAGGAAAGGACTCATCCTGCGTGAGTTCTCCAAGCACGCGACGCCGAGATTTCACCGGCAGTTTCATTATCTTTTGATAGTGCTGATTCCTCCGGCGATGGTAATTTGCGACTCCTCAATTGCATAAAAGTGCGAGACTCGTTCGAGTCCCACTGGGAGTGTCAATTTGTTCTCGCTAAAATTCGTTGATGACGGCCTAATAAATCTAAGCCTGTCGAAATCGACAAAAATCGGATTCCCCAGCCTACTCAAGAAAGTATCCAGGCTAAGTCTCGCGATAGCAATAAAATGAAATATGCAGGATTTGAATTATGGAAATTAAATTACGGAATAAAGAGAAAAAAAAACGTAAGTAAGAACTAAAATAAATCGAAAGCAACAAAGAATAAAAAGCAAGTACAGGAATAAGAAATAAGAAAAAGGATTGATTTATGCTAGTGTTGATCCGATCTCTTTTTCCTCTTTCCTTTTGTCTTTATATAAGTGCTTCCCAGAATTTTCTCCACATTTCCCTATTGTTAGGAATTGTTAGGAGTCCATTCGGCCACTTCTTTCATTATCCAAAATTTGAATTGCAGTTTCTTTGACCGAACCTCATTATTGGACTCTCACGTAAACAACTTTTTTCTTGGGTAGTCCGTTTGAGCTGTCAATAATGATGGATTTTTCTTTGTTTGGCCCGGCTCAATCTCCAATGGCTGAATCCTCTGATGACCTCTAGGCTGGGCTTAGAATTATTTTTATTGGATAACAATATGGCAATTATTTATAACCAAAAAAAGCAAAGGTCATACGAATCCAACTACTATAAGAATATTCAAAGCCGGGAGAGAGAGATATCTTAAACTTGAACAATGGATTGTATAATCTCAAGAAGTCTAGTAACACAATAAAAGAAAGCATCAAATACAACAATACATACTCGATCATAGTCAACGTCCGTCTCGTGCAACAAGCTAAGAGTGAAGGGTTTATACGATAAGATAAGGCGGATTCATATCGTATAATATACATCGGAAATACGTGGCAAGAAAATCCAATCCGACGGGCTCAACTTAAGCTCAAATAAAACACAACGAAACTTTTACGTTACCTCAGACAAAGAAACGATGCTCGGTTTGTTAGTATTCGAGCGTGCCTACGGATGGTATCCCCCCGCTCAAGGTGCTTCGGGAAGAATCTTTCCGACTCAGGTAGTCGCCATTGCCATTGCCATTGCCATTGCCGCTAGTGGTCGAGAGCCTGCCCGCCTGCCCGGGATTCGGCAGATTGAGCTCTTTGCTCATCTGCTGCACTTCTTGCGGCGATAGGATTTTTATGTACCATACGCTGTTGACGAATTCCCTGAAACCCAAATCATATCCATTTCCATTCGAAATATACGATCAGGAACGGCTAACAAGAGAATGCAATGCATATTTGAAACGAAAGCTAAATCAAGTAACGGGTTTACGGGACTTACTGCCATGGATCATCACCGAGGAGAAGAACATCGTTCTCTCGATCGACGAATACAAGCTGCCAGCCTGATCTTTGAGGGTCCTCCAACAGGCCCTGAAGCCCGAACAAACGAGCAAGCTCGCCGCGAAGCTCGTGGTAGCTGCTGAATTTCGAGATATCCAGCGACCGCCCGAAGGACCCCGACTTGTGAACCTGAAAATAACCGTCAAGAATCAACAAGGAATACGCCGATCTAAATACTAGTGTTTAATTACCTTCACAAAAGCTCCCGACGTCGGGTTTGTTTGGTCCACATTTCCGGAAGGATGCAAAAGAACCGACTCATCGACACAACTCGAAGTAGCCATGTCCAAGTTAATAGGAAAGGAAGTACCGCCTGCACTCGGGAATATACCCGGAGCTGAATACGGCATTGATAGTGACTCGCTGTCCTTGCCGCCGATGTTTCTCAGAGCCGGGGCACCGTTGATGAGATTAGTCGATGAGTTCGAGCCGATTCCAAATAGATGGGAATTTCCGACGCTTTGAAAATCTGTAAAATCTTTACTGGGAAACGGCGGTAGTAGAGCTGATAGATCGGAGGCTTTCGAATTAGGCGTCACCAGTTCTTCCGGATGCGGCGCACCGAATTGCGAAACCTTTGGAGAGAGCTGCGGGTCCAACGCCACCCGTTTTGACAGCGACGAATTCGAAACTACCGAACTCGGCCCATTCATGTTCCCGATGTGTGAGGAACTCAGAAGGCTCTCGACAGGGGTCGAATTATTCGACGACGAACCCATATGGCTGCCGATGAGGTCCGACAAGTTCTGCAGCTGGCTCGTCGGAGGCAACCCTTGCATAGGAGTGAATCGGGAGTCGGCAACCGGTTCCATCTGCGAGCTAGTCGTTATCGGTTTTCTCATCACCTGATCGTCAAACAGCGACGATTGCCGGAGTTGCTGCTGATGATCGATAAACGACTGGCGTTGCTGCAACATCTGAGCCGACAATACAGCGTTGCTTTCGGTAACATTCTGGAGGAAGTTCGACTGAGAGTTCGATAGCTGCAGCATCGGATTATGTAGCAGTAGATCCGAAACATTCGGGACATTTTGCTGGAACTGCAGGAGGTGCTGCTGACCAGTGATTTTCGAGGGATCCAACGAGCCACCCTCGGCGAGCGCCGTGCTAGTCCCGGCCATGACTTGGTACATGTCGGCTTGCAAACCCAACATCGAATTGTCGAGCCGAGGTTGCATCCATGGTGACACCCCAAGCCCCGGGAAATTCAACGACTGCATCGCCTGATCTCCGAGACCTCCACGAAACCATGCCATTGGCGAATTGAAGTTCATATCACCGTCTCTGAGACCTGATCGATAAACAACATGACGTACAAGAAGATAAAAGAAAATTCTTCGGAGAAAGAAGCAAAAAAATTTCTCGAGTAAACATACTGGGGTAGGCAGGCAGCCCGGAGGGCCACGGACGTTTCAATCGGAGCGAGAACGGCGATGGGTACATAGGAAAAGTTGTCAGAGGTTCGATCTCCCACAAGGAAACTCTCGGCTGCCTCTCGCTCGCAGTTGATTCGTCCCACCCGACCTGCATAGCGAAACTCAAGACTTCACATTACAATTCGAGAATATAATCCAGCAAACAAAACCCGGATTCTTCGTGAACATACCTTCACCGATCGCCAATGCGAGTTTGGCCAACGAACAGCGTCCAAATCACTGATGCCGGTAATCGTGCCCATATATCTTCGACAAACAAGGAAACGCAGAAAAGTTCATAAACAAAAACCGCCTCCGTTTGCGGAGAGTATATTAAAGAATCTGTAGGTAAAGTTAGGCCTACCGACGAACACTGGATTCTTCAGTTTCGAAAAGCATTCGGAATCGCATCCCCACAGAGACTCTTGTCTGGAAAGCTGCTTTGGCGTATTTCGCCAGGGGTATAACGAACTCGGATCGACTCGCCCTGAAATGAATAAAATTCAAGAATGTGCATCATATGCATGCAAGCTTTCGAATCAGAAAGAAATGACAAAACCGTATTACCTTGGATTGTAGAATACAGTGAAACGACTGTTCGTTGCGGCCGCATGAGCAGCAGCAGCAAGAAGCCCGATGTGCATACTATCACTCGATAGAACTGACGACGGCATAACTGTTTGAGGTCGACTTGCACGTCGAATCCCCAAGAGCAACTGATTGCTTTCATTCCTTAAGAGAAAATCATCATAACTAAGTCAGAAAATTTTGCAATGATATCAACAAAGGGAGAAGAAAACGCGGGTTGTATACGAGAAATTAGCAACCCGTCATTGCATCAACAGTCTAACTTCACGCTGAAATATCACGCATACGTTTTGACACACAGTAAATTTCAGTATGGTATGATACTGCATTTACTATAGCATTATGTAACTTTGGAATTGTTGATATTTCAATATATATTGAAAATACCGTATACAGTTTATTATTTCGGTATATGGTATATTGATATATAATGATAATTCAATATATTAATTCTAAAATTATTGTTTTCAATTTTTTAAAAAAAATATATATAAAATTTTCTTTAGTTCATTATCTTCGACATGGAACAATATATAACGATGTCGTACAGATGATTCGGTATTACAGAATTAATGATACGGTACAATATATAATATATGCCGTATCGAATTTTCGATATACTACTTTTTTGGTATGGAATCGATATGTTAAAATATCATACCGAAAATTTCGATATGATATATAGTATCTTCCTTACACCGTACTGCACTACCGCTAACGTTAAACAATCATCAGAATTCTAAGCGATAACTCAATAATTTTGCATACCAGATGAATATAACAGAATCTCCAGCAACAAGCCGTTTTGCGCTGACAAAAACACTCCAACCGGTTGTGAGGAGATGCCGCTTCGGCTGACCTGCACACAATGATATATATGTTAAATATCGATAGGCAGATACGGTAAGACCTTAAGACAACGAGTCCGATCACCTATATTATACAATGATATGAATCTAACAAAGAATAATTTCTCCATGAATCAATCACAATCCACGGATCATACAATATGTAAAACTGTAGTATACTATCGAACAAACTCACCCCTAAAGATATGTCGGAATTTCCATTCATTGCCATGAAGATCCTTTGCGAGTAATTCTTGACACGGAGGGGTTTGAGAGTAATCCTAAAGAATTAGCACAAGCACGACTCAGTAAAGATTTGAACAATGAATCAAGAACGACGGTAGCGTAGCCACGGAAAAACGGGACACTATACTGCGACACTTACAAGTGGAGGAAAGACTTTCTCAGCAGCTCTTCGAGGAACCGAAAACCCACCGTGAGTGCTGGTGTCACTAGCTGTTAATGTTTTGCAGAAATAGTTCGTCGGCTGCTTGCTCGGGGCCCCGAGTTCCGCCGGCAGCAGGCATATGTCCTTTTGCTCTTCCTAAACCACCAAGAAAGTGAAATTTGTCGAAAGAATAATCATTACGCAACGTTTATAAATTCAAATAAGTCCCGAGTATTTACTGGCGTGAGCGGCTGCAATGTCATTTGCGCATACACTTCATCCGTCTCCACATCCGCCTGCATTTTCGACGATTCGGACAGCTAAGATACGTCCTCCAATAGATTTCGGCACCGTATAATTGTTCAGAGAAATTCGACTTACGTGCATCGTAACATTGTGAAGATGGCATATTAGCTGCGGCTGTAAGCCCGGATAGTTCGGAATAGCTGCATCGACTTCTTTGTTGGTAGAGGCAGCAACCTGCAAGTAAATAGTTTCATATGTGGATGAATACCCGAAATCGAAATTCGGAAAATTATAGTTCAGATTAACGCTGGTAATGCAAAGATATATGCACAAACCCTTATCGATTTTCAGCTAAAAAAGCAAAACTTTTTGAGGATTTGTGCCACACTTTTTTGATCAAGCACATAAAATAAGTACAAACGACAAATAACATATGGCGAACACAACACCTATAATCAGAACATTTCGGAGATTGATTGATCAATCAATCCAAAATTTGTGAATAAATTACCTAGGCTACGATAACATTTCAAGTTTATATACAATACATCATATCCAACCACGAAATTTCACCTAGAACAAACGACAAAAACCAAACATACCCCGGAATTTTGAAGAAATCACCTACGCTAAAACAATGTCCGTCCACCGGTTCTATTGCAACTCGTAAGATATCAATCAATCAATCAAAATTTTCGAAGAAATCAACGCAGGCTACAACAATGTTAGTTCGCCATATCTATTGCAACACATACAATATCTATCAATCGATCAATCAATCCAAGTTTTCGAAGAAATCACCTATCTAGCAACGACAATGTCAGTTGGTCGTCTCTAGTGCATCTAATAAGATACCATTCGATCAAATGATAAACATTAACTACACTATATATATATATGTATATATCTCCTCTATCAGATGAAACTTAGACTCATCCAAAACAACCTGCTCACTATGCCCTTGCGGAAAATACACAACACGGCTACCGATTTGCGGCAGCGACACCAACGGGCCGGCGCAGGCGTGCCATAGCTCCGAATTCAAGCATTTCTTCTCCCCTGCAACCAAACCAACAAACAATACAAATTAAGAACAACAACAATAACATCAATATATATAAGCTACAAACAAACAATTAAATCAAAAACATCACAAAAATGGAGCAAGACCTTCCTCAGGCTGAGCATCAAATCCAGTACTAGCTGAAGAAGAAGAAGACAACCTCATATTCCACAGAAAGCCAGAATTAGTTTCGTAAAAAAAAAAAAAAAAAAAAAACTAGAATAAAAATCGAACTGAATCAAAAGGGGGTGGGTTTCAAGGAAAAAGCATTATGCCCAAATTAACTCAACCTAACCCTAAAATCCCAAAAGAAGCCAAGCTAAGACGAGACCCACCCCCCCACCCCCACAAACAACCAAAATTGCTCATCCAAACCCACACACATCCATTCCCCAGCTCGCGAAATCGAAGGAAATGGGAAAAGCGAAGCAGATCTTGATAGGGGTGGGGTTAATTACAGTAGCTCAGAAAAACCCTAAAAAAGAAAAGGAAAAGATAAAGACTGGTCCGAGGAATAAATGAGCTAAAGCCAATAAATGAAAGAAGAAAAAAGCAAAGGGAAGAAGAAGAAGAAAATGATGAGCAGCTTTTGTGAACTATTGAGATCTCTCTCTTTCTCTCTCACTCTATATATATCTCTGTTTATCACTCTGTGCAGCTATGTATGTATGTGTGTATATATATATGATGGGAGGGACGAGGGAGAGAGCCAAAATCAGCCTCAGATCTTTAACAAGATTTTCCTTTTTTTTCACTTTTGAGTATTTTATTGAAGAATGAAAGGATTAAAGTGAGGATGAATCAAGAAAATGGAAAATGTATTAACGAATTTATGTAGTAGAGAGAGAGAGGGAGGGAGGGGGTAAATTTGGGGATCAATTATTGGATTCTTGTTTGCAAGGTTGAAGCAGTATCCACTTTAGGTAAATCCGGTTTTTCTCCACTATTTCTTACCTTCTTCTCTTCTTCTTTAATGTCATAGTTCAATATTTACTGCCTCATTCTCAAATTAATCTATTTATTTTATTATTTTAATTTTTTCTAAATTAATATATTTGTTTGTTTTTAATAATTATATTTTTTATACTCCTTCGTCCCATAACAAAATGGATAACAAAGTATTCATAATTGTATTGTCTACTTAACATTACAAATACTCTTACAACTTACAAAATATTACACAAATGTCATTACATTTATATCACACATACTAATAAGGGTATTTTAGTCATTATTATTTTATTCCTACTATATTCCAATATAATATTTCTAAAACTACGTGCAAAAAGCAAATGAATATTTAGTTTTGGGACGGAGCGAGTATAATTTTACCGAACTTATAATACACATATTATTATACAAATATTATCATTATTATTTGATTAATTTATACAAAAAGATAAATTTAACTATTACTATTTTTTATATTAAATACATATAAAATATTATTATCAAAAAAATCTACGTGAATAAATATATAAAAAGAAGTAGTATAATAATTTTAAGTATTATTATTGTTAACTATGATAAATTATGAACAATTATATATCTATATATTTTTTATTTATTATTGTTATTACTATTATTATTATTATTTATATATCTGTGTGTGTGTTTTTTTTTAAAAAGAAAAAATTACTATTTGAACCTTTTTCGGTCTAAGTCGAATACATATATTTTTTTTGTCTGTAAAAAATATCTATATTTTTTAGTAAAACTCTCTCTCAAATAAATACAAAAAATTTATTATTTTTCATATCTCTTCTTTCAATCTCATTAATATCAAAGTAAAATGGATTTGACATTCTTGTATTATACTTACACGTCTACTCTCATTGTCCTTTTAACAATTTATCTATTTTTTTACTTTGGTCTGTCTCATTTAAAATATTTATTTTTTTTAGTAATAGTACCATCTATTTAATATTACAAATACCCTTTCAATTTACAATATATTATACAAATGTCATTATCTTTATATCATAGAATACTAATAGGGTTAATTTAGTATTTTTACCTTTATTTCTACTTTATTCCAATATAATACTAATATTTCTAAAATTTCGTACAAAAAGCAAATGGATATATAGATATGGGACGGAGGGAGTATACAATAGAGTTACTCTTAAAGATAAAATATATTTTTTTATCTGACAAAACATTTCTTCAAATATTATTTAATACTCCCTCCATCTCAAATACCATATCCACGTTGTCGTTTCTGTCCGTCCCACATACCATGTCACTTTCCTTTTATGGAAAATGATTACACACTTTAATCTCATTTTAAATTTTTTAATTTTTTTTTTAATTTTAATTAAACTAATTAGTTATCTTAATCTTAATTTATAATTATTTATATTATAGAATAATTATTTTCACTAATACATTTTTAATTATTTACTAATTACACTCCTCCTAAAATACCGTGTCTACAGTGTAGTAGACACGGTATCCGGGACGGAGGGAGTACCAAACTTAACTTAATCTTTCCCGACCTCATTCAAAAGAAATCCAACTTAATTAAAAACTACTTTCATTACATTTCCCATTCATTCATTCGTTCATTCATTGCTTCATTCTTATTACCAATCTTCAATTCTCTAGCAATAACTAGCTAGGGGTATTGTAGTCAAATTCATTTATGATTCATCTTTTAAAACTTTAAATTCTTCTATATTCCCTCCCCTACTAAAATAATTGATTTTTTTTTTTTTTTCATTTTATATGTTACACTTTATTTGACATATTTTTATATTTACTAAAAAATTTAATTTAAAATATATTTAATAAATATAAATCAATTTAATTACTTTCATAATATCTAACATTATATATACTCATTCAAAATTTCTTTATTTATATATTTCTCCCCAATAAATAAATATTTTTATCTATATTTAAAACTTTTCAATTTTATAAAAATTAATTTATATTAATTATAAATAAATAAATATATTTTTTATTTATATTTATTATATAAAATTTTATTTTATACAAATGATATTTATATTACATATATTTTATTGAAATATAACTTTTAAAATATTTAAATACATATTTTAAATTTTTTCAATCATATATTACTTTTTATTTCAAAATTACACAATATCACTTACATAGAAAATAATAAAATAGTACTTATAATTTATTATTATTAACTAACTAAATTTCATTACTTTAAATACCACGACACAAATCAACTGAGTTGATTGTTTAGAAAAAAAGATACATATTAATTTTAATATTAAAAATAAATTAAATAGTAAGAAACTAATAAATAAAAATAAAAAACTGCTTTAATGATTATCAATAAATCTTATACAATTAGATTTAGTCGGAATATTTATCCAAAACACACTCATCGCGCATTGACTCAAGTTCCCACGTTATCAAAAACACAGTAAAATTATACAATTATTTGTTTTAAAGTATATATATAATAAATAATAGTACTATATACAAAGAAAATAAATATATTTGACGGGTGGAAAGAATATTATAAATACATCCCCTAGTGTGTTTTTTTAAATAAATAAATAATAATCTATTTAATATACGATGCTGCGATTGTTTAATATTTATATTTTTATATTTTTTTTTTGGTCATGAAATATGAGAAAGGATTAAAATATTATAAAGAAGAGTGTTTTAATTTTTTTTTTTTTTTTTACTTTTGTACATTTAAAAAAAAAATTAGAATAGGTTAAAAGTCAAATAATAATGATTTGAAATACTAATTTTTACCTTATTTATGAGACCCACACATTAGCTATCCATTCTCATGTTTGGCAGTAACGGACAATCACTTCTTTCGACATAAGTATGTTTGATACTAGAGGCAAATGTACTTTATTATTAATAGGATCACAGGACTTCAATAGATTTTTTATATATATAAATATATACTTATTAATTGTTTAATTTATTTTTTTCAACTTATATTTCATAATTTTTTTACATTATTTTAGAAACCCACACATTAGCTATCTATTCTCATGTTGGACAGTAAGGGTCGAAGAAGGGCAATCACTTCCTTTCACCTAAGGGTGTGTTTGACAATTAGTTGTTAGTTATTAGCTGATTCGATTAGCTGGTTTGACTAGCCGATTCGATTAGTTGTTTGTATTAAAATATTTGGTAAAATAACAGTTTGATATTAGTAGTTTATACGTAAAATAACAATTAGGACATTTTATATTTTATATTCATAATATTTAGTTGAATTTTTTAGGTGGGTAGACTTTTTTAGAATTTTATTATTAATTTTAAAAATTAGAAAAAATTTATTAAGATATTTATTTTTATTATTTTTAAAATATTTTGTAAAGAATGCAAGCTTATTAAAAATTATATTTTTTTTCATTAGAAATAGTATAAATATAAAATAACACAAATCATTACTATATGTATCTTTATTAGATTAATTTTTAATTAATTTATATTTACATTAAATTTATAATTTTAAATAAATATATTTTTTTTAATAAAAATATTAAAAAATATTAAATAAATGAATCAATAATATTAATATATTTATATTATCTTTATTCTAAAAAATTTTTACAAAAAATATAGATAAGATAATTGACATATAAAAAAACAATTATTTAAATTTATAAATATGAATTTATAAGTTATTAGAAGAAAATATATCTAAATAATTAATAAATAGTATAATAAAAAATATATTAAAATATGTGAAAGAATTAATTAATTTTTAAGGATAAATAAAGAATAAAAAAATTTAAATAAAAAAAATTTAATTTGCAACGCTGGGTATACAACTTTTTTAAAATTAGTTTTTTTTTTTACCCAATAAGCTAATTGAAAACACTAATTTACCAAATATAAAAATTAGTTAATCTACTGGTCAAATAACTAAAAGTTTTTCAATAAGCTAAAAATTTTGAAAAAATTATTTGACAAATCCTATCTTATTATCTTTGAAACTAGAGGCGAATGCACCTTGTTACTAGTGTAGGTTCTAGAACCTCGCATTATTTCAGAATTTTTTTATAATTATCATAAGACAATCTCATTTAGATTTTTTTTTAAAATATTAATTATATAATATATTAATTTTTTAATCTATTCAAACTTTAATCTCTTGTACTCTTTTATTTTATTTTTTTTATATTTTTTTATTTTTATTTTTTTTTCAATTCCAAGGACGGCACAACAATATATGAATTTGGGTATCAATTTGGTGATTTCTTCCATTTTCTTTGTTTGGACTCTAACTTTACAAGGCAAACTCACAATTTGTATATAATGGTCATGTTTAAGGAACAATTGTAATTTATTTATTTTTATATTGTAATAATAATTTAATAAATTATGTATCCGGATGCTGCCCCTGTTTGAGATTTTTTTTTTATTTTTTTATGTGAGAGTTGACAGAATCCTCACGAAATTCTGCGTCCACCAAACTACGAATCGAAACTGATCAGGAAGATCGAGAGATATTTTCTCAATCACAAACCGGAAAGGAATTGCTTACTACAGACTGTATATTAATTTTTATTGTTATATGTATATATATTGTATTTTTAATAATATTTTTGAAAAATTGTATAAAAATAATACACCTAAACACATTATTATTATTATTATTATAAAATTGGTTAATTTTTTTGGAATAGATTGACATTGTTTGAAACTAATAAAGAATTGCAGGATGAAACTGCATTATTATATTATACTCTTATATATTTTATTATGAACAAATATTATTACAATAAAAGTAATGAAATTTTTGTCTAATTTGTTAAGAAA